ATCCTGTTTCAATTAGATTTTTCACATCTTGAGTCACAGGAAACTGAACCCTGATGGCTATTGATACTTTCTCTATTGCTCTGCTCTTGACATAGTTTGTAGCCACATAAATATTATAGCTTTGCCCGATTATTTCTTCAAATCTAACATCTTCTTTTTGAAAACAGTCACTGTTTTTGGTGGTTGGGCATCACTCATCACTGGATATTTTCCAGACCAATATGTTCAAGCTCATCTTCTTCAACAATATTGTTATTTAAATTATTAATGGGCAACAAAGCATAATTTATAAACTTAAACTCAACTTTCAGGAAGCAAAAATAGTTATGGTATAAACAAGCAAACCAAATTATAACAAAAACAAACTTATTAATGACGTATACAGTCAATTCAATAAATAATATTGAATTTTCTTAGGAATCAAATAAAAATTTCCTTGAGTTTCCCCTAGATGATAAAAGGATCCGAGAACGTAGCCGAACTGTTGTCGATAGTGACACAGAGTGCCGTTTCAGCCGACTATCGCTTTTGAAAATAGATATCTACTATGGAAAGCGAGCTGTAGAATTCTATAGAGCACAGAGTCCCAGAGCTGTTCTGTTCTTTATCTATACAAAGTCGATCCTGCCTCGTAAGAACTTGCCGAAAAAAGGTGGCAGGGCAGGTCAATGAGAAAGGCTGAATGAAATGTCAAATTGAAGGTCTCAATTGTCTTTATCTATAACGTTGTTCTTGTCTTGCCTTGTAAAAACTTGCCGAAAAACGGCAGCAAGGGCCTTAATAAGGAGCGCCCCGGGCCCGCATTTGTAGTGTACGGCCTTGGCCGAATAGAATATGGAATGCAGAACCGGTCTTTTAGGCCATTTATCATTTCATCTCACTCTTCGCCTGTTAAATGAAAATGCTGACTTGAATAGTGAAAATGTCATTGTAGGGATTCAGGAATTTACGTTGCTTGCAGATTTACTCCATGAAAAAATGTGAAAGCCTAGATCAGGCGTTATGAATTCTTCGAAAAACTATACTGCCTGAATGACTTCATGAAAAAAGTAGGAGGGTTTGATTTGAGCACTATACCATCTTGTTGGCGTTCTTTGAAATAATTATCAATGGGCTCTTTCACTAATTTTTGAAATTGGCATATTTGGATAAAGCAAGTAAAAACAGAATTTTCTGTATTTTTACTTTTGAAAAATTCAGAGTCCTTCTTGAGAAAACAGAGAAAAAAGAAATACCTCCAAATAAAAACCCAGAATTTATTTCTATGACGTCGCAGCTCGCAATTTGACCGTGTTGCCACTAATTGTCTACATTGAAAATTTGTAATAGATTTAATTCTGAAATGTTCGCAAAATATCATGAAAAGTAGTTAAATTAATTAGTTATGGATTCAACATTTTATAACATTTTTATTGAAATTATGCTTAAAAACAATTTAATATAATTTTTTATGTTTAGTTTTATTTATTTATTTTACGTTGCACTACATTTAGTCACCACCGACAACAGCGCATTCGAACCTTTAGCTGCATTTACTACAGGATAAATACAGCCGAGGCGATCAGCTCTTTGCAACAACCAGCGAAATGAAGAATATTTATGCGACGTCAGCAAATCGGCGCGTTTTTGATTAATTTGAATATTGGTAGTTTAAAATGCCTGTAAAAAACTTATTTAACCTTGTAGAACTTTTTTTTTTGGTATATATGCCTAAAATAGTCCCTCCTTTGGGATTTTATACTTAAATTACGTATTTAAATTTAAGTGAAAGAGCCCATTGTTGAGAACAGTTTATGTGTGTTCAATGTGGCAAAATGCCATGAAGAAAAACTGCTCTTTCTTGGAGCTCACAGACTATGACTGGCTCGTCAAGAATGGTAAATTTAAGCCATTGTCGTAGGTATGTGGGCAATCCAACCCCCACTGCTGTTGAAGACATTAAACTTTTGAATGGGGATGATGAAATTGATGATGATGACGTGAATGTCAATGAAGGTTCTGCTTATTCGGAATGGGACTTTGAAAAAGATTATTGAGCATGAATTTCGAATGGTTCTTATGATTACTTTTCTGCGTGACGTACATAATATGTGGATTTAAAGTTTAATGGGGAAAATATTTTCGCACCATTGTCGTATCTACACGTATTATTTATTACTGATTATCGATACATGATTGTACAATGATTCACAAGTTTTTAAATCGTTCTCTTGATGCATGTGATAACATACTATATACTATGTAATAATATTAACGAGTCGAGAAAACTGAAACGTGCGTTCGCAATAGAGACTGTACAATAGTTTTTGATTGTTTCAGCCGTACAATTGTACTATACCATTATAGGAGTTTTGAATAGAAAGCAGTTATGAAATTACAGTAATGAATTCTGGAAATAATGCAAGTAACAATAATTATCACCAATAATTAGTCGACCTATTTTGATCGTTTATTAAACGCAATCCTCGTGACCTACTGCGCGCGTGCTCCTCATTCCACCCCTGCTGCCCCGACAAGGCAGGATTAACTTTATAGAAGTAAAGGTGCAACACCGGTTCTAGGCCAAAATCATTTTTACTTGTAAATCTCCATAAGAAAATCTAAGGTCCATTCTGCGACTTTTTGTGCCATTTTGGAGTGGGGGTAAGATTTCCAGGAAGAAGCCCCGCCCCCTTTCCAGTGCCCGTGTCTTTCATCGATAGCTGGTTAGACGCCGCTGCTTCAGGGTACTGGCCCCAAGCGGCTGATCGAACCCACATAGCACCTCGTGACTTGGTACCTCATTCAAGGTGGCTCGTACTGATGATGACGTAACTAATAATAAAATCTGCCTCGTGCGTCGTCTAGTTGCAGATCCAAGTTGCACGAGGTGGGAGCCAACTTTTAGGTTATGAGTTTTAGGTCATGTAAATGGGGCCCGGAGAACAGAGCGCCCGAAATTGGGGGCCCGTAATACGGGTCAGTTTAATAGCTGTATCAGACCAGTCTCTAGACCTGTATAGCTGTATACAGATCTGTTGCTAGACCTGTCTAGCTGTATACAGAGATGTCTCTAGACCTGTATAGCTGTATGCAGCTGTACAGGGGCCAGGTACGGTCAATAACCCTGAAGCAGCGGCGACTAACCAGCTATCGGTGAAAGGCACGGGCACTGGAAAGGGAGCGGGGCTTATTCCTGGAAATTTTACCCCCACTCCAAAATGGTACAAAAAGTCGCAGAATGGACCTTAGATTTTCTTATGGCGATTTACATGTAAAAATGACTGATTTTGGCCTAGAACCGGTGTTGCACCTTTACTTATAGATAAACGACATTGCGATTTTCAATTTGATACCTGATTCGGGGCAAAACCTGGTGTATTATCTGAACCGCCAAAGATGAGACCGCGCGCGCGTGCCCTGTTGACCTACCCTGTCATCTTTTTCCGGTTAGTTCTCACAGGGCAAGTTCGACTGTTTAGATAGAGGACATCGAGACCATTAATCTGATACCCGCCTATTTAGGGAAAAACTCGATGGGGTTAATAGGGTAGTTCGTCGAAGTCAAACTTACACTTTGCGCAGCTCTGCCAGGGTTACGCTGCAGGGTTGAAGGAGGCAAGAACGCATATTCTGATACCCCGCATTGCCGCGCATATGTATTTTCTTATTATTATTCTGCTATGTTTTCTTTTTTTTTTGTTAAATGGTATTTGCGACAGCATTTGCTCTCAGGCAGGAATACAGGATAATAGATGCACATAATACGAAATATTGATGAAAGTGTCGACACATAACTCAATCGGGGTAGGAAAAACGCCGTCGTCTCCCTTACTATGCTAATAACCGTGATGATTCAAGCATAAGTATCACAAACCAAAAACAGATGCGCCGGAAAGCTCCTCATTAATCTACACAATTCAGAAATAGTATATTGTGTGTTTAGGTAGAAAAGTGACACATTCTCGGCCAAGAAAACAAAATTCCATTTTATGCGCAAGAAGACACATGTTTCATTGATTAATTTTAATTATTATTGTTGAAAAAAAAAGGCTTCATACAAAATGCAAAGTAGTGCAAAACTATCTATGAAAAAAATGAGGAATACAAACACTGATACTGAAGATAATTTAGCCTGGCACCTGATATAAACAGAAAGCACGTGAGCCTCGCTCAGGCACGACCGTCGTTTAATTTTACTTGAAGAATTATTGTTGGCGTCAAAATCGAAATCTTTATTTTGCGGTTCTGGCGGATATCTCAACACAGGTGCTTTCGTCTACATCAGGCGTCATGTTTATTTGTCTTTAGTGTAGAATCGATATTCATTTAGAAGAGAAGAACAAATTATTGTTAACTAGTGACAGCTTGACGATAACAGTCGTAGAGAGCAATCAAAAAAAGGGAGAGATGACAAGATTGTAGGATAAATTCGTATTGATGCTGATGGAACATTGTGAGGTTCGAAAACAGCTGATAAAGTCAACTAGTCGGTAAGCAGGTTTGAATAATTAACTGTGAAGGAAATGATTTCAAATTTGTTTAAAAATAGTACCTACATTATATACCTAGGGACTGAAGTGGTACTTTTAATCCTGAGACGAAGTTATAATTTGTCGAGGGAATAGAAATCACTTTAGTCTTGATGTGTATACATTACTTCATGTACTTTGGAGAAATTGAAAGTACACTTTTACTCCCGGTTTCATTTAATCCGCGGGAAATGAAATAACAATGTAATCCCCGGGAAATAAAGTGAAATTTAATCCAGGGAATTAAAAGACCCACTCTACTTCCTTAAAACAAGGATTGACAGGGTACTTTTAATCCCTAAAGTAAATAAAAGCGTTCTAGCGACATTTTATTTAAAAAAAAAAAACTATCTATTCAGAATTGTAAAAATATTATTGTAAAAATCAAGCGTCACGTCACTTTTTATAAAACTGAGATTAGGTATTTGCACTTGGCACTATTTATACCCAACGTATCGAAAAATAAATTTCTGTCAAAGTGCTACTTACCTAATATTCCTAATCTATAGTTTAACGTTATTACAACTAGATCGGCATAGGAGGCTAAAACGCTTCCATCATAAGGATTGCCGGAATTCCACTCAAACGATTCTCCGTGTATGTAGACTATCACAGGATGACGAGCTTCGCCTGAAACTAAAAAGAACATTGAGGCTACATCGGTTTTGATTGCCCGCAAATAATGTGCTCAATTATTTATCCACCAGTTTGGATGGACATGAATAATGGCGAACAGGATAATTGTGAAGGAATTATCGGGGGTAATACCACGAGTGCTTAAAAATTACCGATAATTTTTCATTTTCTATAATTTCACGAGTCCGTATGACGAGTGATATTTACAAAGAAAACACGCATGAGTGTAAAATTTCTGGTTAATTTAAATGGTTATGACGTTTTTACATAACCATTTTTCTAGTATTTGAGTTATGCCATGAGACTCATAACACAACTAGTGTTGTTATGGACTAGGTTATGAATCTTTAATACTAGTTTTTGTGATTTGACAAATGTCATAGTTAAACCTGTAAAGGCAAAACGAAGGTAGATATATACTAACACTTTCACTGCGCATGTCGCTCATAGGCGACATGAGCGTACGTACCCTAGTGCGCGTGTCGCCTATGTGCGACAAGTGTATGCATTGCTTTGTATATTTCGTACAAATTTAGCATTGATAGATAGTGAAAGAATAGACGAAAATTGAAAAAAAAAACATCTTGTTATTTTTCGCTTTGTAGATAAAATATTATACATCACACGTGCGTTCAAACATGACTACAAAACTCGTGTGATTGGAATGACTCGGTCTATGACCTCGTCGTTCTAATTTTTCACACTCGTTATTGTAATCATGTTCATACGCGCACTTTTAATGTAAATAACTATTTGTGTTTCATGAGGATATTGTTGACTGTTGGAGCAAAGCTGCCAAGATTTTTCAATAAAGTACAGTTAATACATGTATGGGGGCCCCAATCGCGGATAAGTGCATGCTTATGTTACACGTCAGATCACCACTCAAAATCTATGTCCAAAGCACATAAATTGTGCATTTTAATTCATCATTTTCAATGTCCCTCTGGTCTGTGTATTTTTTCGAATATTTTCAATGATAAAATAAGTACAATAATTATTCTACCCTTTTAGAATTTAATTTGCTTTGAAACTATTTTATGTGACATTGTCAATAAGATAAATAATACAAAAAACGGTCCAATAACCCTTGACCGAAAATCATCAAACCGGAAACTAGGGATAGCGACCGTTCCGTTAAAAATTTCCATATAAATTCGAACTTTTCCACTTGAGAAGTGTTGCCGAAGCTGCTCGAAAGTCAAGCGAATCGTCAAAATGAAATGAAACGTTACTCTTGTTTAAGAATTTCAACAAGTTTTCTCCTTTCTCTGGTTTCTTTTGCCATTAAAAGATTTATGGTCCAATGGATCACATAAAGTGCAACGGAGAAAAATAGGAATATTTTGATTATATTTTTTTGTGAAAACTAGTTTAGAATAAAAGTGACAATACAATAAGATAATAATAGTATCGCTATGAGCGAAATTGATTATAGATATACGCGAATCAGAACCGATCGTCAGTCTTTAGCGTTCTTTCGCGGTGAGACCTCATACCACTTCAATCAGCAAACTCAATTTTTAAGCCCCCACTGCAAGGTATCAGAATACTTTTCTCCGGCTGACCGTGATGGGAATGAAAAATTCTTTGCATAAGAAAATGGTCATTTATACGAAGGTACATAGTAGTGGCAAAGGTGTACCGCGTACCGCAAGAACTTACACCTCAATTGAAATTTTCAAATAAAGTTTCTTTATCTTGAGAAGAATTAAGGGACATTTACAGCCACTTAACTTACACTACTGTGTTTACAATGAAGTTAATTTTCTTACGTGACGTATGCGCACTTATAACAACTGTCCAGTCTAATTATACAGGGTGTCCCACGGTGAATGGCGTATTAGACGTTTATGGAGAACTAAAAAGCGGATCATTTTGCCGCTTCTACTCTAAACCAGTGGCAACATCGCTATTTTAAATGAAACACCCCGTATTTAATTGCATATTTGGATTCTACATATAATTCTGAGCAGATTTGATGTGATATACCCTATACCTAAGTTCAACTGTTTTGGAAATATTGACAGTTGAAAATTGACTTTTTGCAACTTTGGCAGGCTGTAAAACCTGAACGGTTAATTTTTGAGAAAAACCGATTTTACATTCCTATCTTAGATTTTTATAAACTATCATTTCACACCAATTTTGAATTTAATCCATGATTAAAAATTCCAATTAAATTTAATCTCCGGTTAAATTCAAAGTTGGTGTCAAATGATAGTTTACGAAAATCTAAGATAGGAATGTAAGATCGGTTTTCCTCTGAAATTAACCGTTTAGGTTTTACAGCCTGTCAAAGTTGCAAAAAGTCAATTTTCAACTGTCAATATTTCCAAAACAGTTGAACTTAGGTATAGGGTATATCACATAAAATCTGCTCAGAATTTTACGTAGAATCCAAATATGCAATCACATTTCATTTAAAAAAGCGATGTTGCCACTGCTTTAGAGTAGAAGCGGGAACACCGTATAAAAAAAAATATTTTTAAAGTGTAGATTATGGTCGTTTATCCCGGTTGCCAAATTTTCAAAATGATCCGCTTTTTAGTTCTCTATAAACGTCTAATACGCCATCCACCGTGGGACACCCTGTATGTACAGAAACAGAACTTAATGCACGAATTTTCTCAAGTTGAAGTTGTCCCAACTTTTCCGTGTGTCACGTTATTTTTCTTAATTTTTAAGTGGATGGTCCATTTAGTACATGATCTTCAACTTTTCTTTATTAATAATTTTGCGTACGTTAAGTCAAGTGGATGTAAATGACCCTTTACACGCTCTCTGATTAGATTCAATTGCGCCAATCAAATTATTTCTATAAAATAATATACTCTTTGCTTCGAGTTCTATTTTATTTTAATAAAATAATACTTATTAGGTTCAGATGGCTTCTGGACTTTGTTCGCTGATGTTTCGGTAACAAATGTGCTACTGTTGCACTTGTGGTAATATTTTTGCAAGATAGACATGTCCATTAGGGTCGCATGCTAAATTAAAGAAAGTCTGATAGGCTATTTATTCTTCTTGAAATACTACTCTGTTCATTGTTATATTATTGAGCAATGGTAAATCTTATCTACGGAATCGATCTATGAAACCGAAAATAATGATCTCTCCAATTTTCCAATTTTAAGGAAGAATATCTGCCGAAACTTGCCATGAGTAGAGTAACACGTCTATGTCGTTTCTATGGTAATTTACCTTATCCAATATCGCAAAACCAATCAAAATATGTTCCACAACGGTATCTTGATAACCCATCACTCCCTAATTCGGGCATCATATTTCCGGATTGCCGGAATAAAGGGGGACTTTCCAAAGACACACTGAGTATAGATTTAATTTTGTTATCTAGTTCACCAAATGAATAGGCAATAGAGAATATCACTGAAACAAGGATTTTTGAATTTTTCAGAGAATAACCGTTTGTAACCGTGTAAGAAAACTTTAAAATCACCACAAACACAAATCATGCACAATTTCTTCCAGAATCAAACTAACCCACCCACAAGTGTGTTTTTTTTTTAAAAGTTTAGTAGCTCCCACATAGGAGAGATATTGTATCGGCAAGTGATTTTGTTGTTTGACACCACTCCGTTCTACTCTCTCTGGTTTCTACTGAAACACTGCCCCAGATGGCATAATTTTGAATTGGTATCAATAATTACTATCTCCGGCAGTAACTCATGTCCGATATGTTACTGCTAAGTCTATAGATAGAAATCATGACATCGCCCTTATTACCGATGTTCTTTAATGAATTGAACTTTTAAAATATAGTTGGATACTCTTATCGGCATTTTTACAGGTAGGTATTGTCTGACTTTAAAGTGGCTGATTTATTCTCAAGACAATATTATTTCCCTTAGATGGGAATAAATTTGAAAGAAAAGATCCATTGTTATGTTAAGATAAGCATGAAATACTATCTGTTTAACGAGCCTCGGTATATTTATCACTATCCTTTTACCGTAAGTATTCTTCAAATTTTCAGAACATAGTTGTGATTTGAGATTTTCATCAATGGTTTCTTGATTTTGAAAAGAATGGCACAACTCACAGTTCAAATTAAAGACATGAGCTTCGTTAATAAAACTGCGAATAACAATCAATGGAGGGGAATATGTGTGATGAGTTTTTTGATCTGGTGTTTTCAATTTTCGAAGTGAGCTATCTATTTTAGGATGAACTGATTCCATCTTGCCAAAAATATGAGATAGACATCACTGTAATCCAATTGGGGCTTTAACTCGATCGGGTTTTTCCGCCAATTATATTTTACTTATGAGATATTTACTTTTCGAAAACATTTGAAAGCTTCCAGAAGAGTATATAGTGACAAACGAAATTATGTGTAACCTACACTAATTATTCCTGAAAACTATAGAACAATCTCTCTGGATTGTCTCTCCTTTTAAATATATCAAATTGTTGCAGCGATAATCATTCTTCGTTTATTCAAGCTACAATGATGTAGGGAAAAACGGAGGCGTTTATGATATGGGTTCATATAGGCACGTATGAAAAATAGATGATTAATAATAAGTTTATACGGACATTGAGTAATCTATCTTGCTTAGGCACAAACCTATATGATAGCAAAAAGCCATACAAATAAACTTAAAATATTGCAGATTTATTGCACTATCGACTAGTTGAATTATTCACCATGTATCGTGCCCAAATAGCCTTTAACTAAATATTTCACACTTATTTTTAGTTTTCCACTCAAAATTCCTATATAGATATTTAATTTTTCCCTAATTTCATAAAGCTTTCTTTACATTTTTCCTTTATAAAATTCAACAATAATTACAGGAGTTGCAGATCCTTTAAATTTTATAATCTTTATTATTTAATTTCTATTTTCACTGGTGAGTAGTAGTTGGGTTATGTTTTCCAAATAGTGGTCCATTCATGAAGTGTGTACTCAGTTCGGTTGCGGAATCCAGAACCAGATTTAGTTCCGGAATCCGGTTCCATAAGCACCG